TAACACCTCCGTCACGAGAAGCCAGTAGGTACGACTTCTTCAGCAGAAGCTATTTGAGGCGTTTCATCTTTTGGGAGCATTTCTAGAGGAGTTCCGGAGAAATGGCAATTTCGGAGCCCGAGACACCCACTCCCGACCATACTGAGGGACTCGTGTATATTCAAAATGAGAAAGGATCTGATCAGCTACCCGGTGGCCGACTGAGTAGTATGCTTGAGTTCTATCTGTGAGGTACAGGGTTCGCTCCCCAGTTGGGTCAATAGCTTTGCACTATTAATGAGGTCAAAACACCTGTCCAGTGCTTATAGCTTTTCAGCTGACGCTTCATTTACACGAAGAATTCATCATACAAAGAACAGCTGGTTTCGCCTACCGTACTTGTTTTCAATAAGGCAATATAATTGGCATACACTAAATCTACGACTGCCTCCAGGACAAAGCTCAACACCGACGTTCGTTAGGTTAAGCACAGTTTTGCAAGACATCATCTATGGTAAACTTGAAAAACAGAGAAATAGGGCAACAATGTCGTCACCAAATAGTGAAAAGGAAATGAGGGCGAAAATTTACGAAAGGCCCTAACCTTCCTCGAGGTTCGACGTTGTGTTTCTAGAGTCAGAGCATTCGGATGCTCCGTAAATCATCAAACAGTTCCACCGTGTAGGGCGATCGAGGGAGTCGAGGGTCGCTGTAATTTCCAAAAACACGACGGAAGTTTGTCCTCAATAGTGTGAGGATGTTCAAGCAGATGAGGAAGAGTGAAGATTTATTTGATCCATGAAAACACGCTATGTACGAAACCCGGTCTGCTCTTCGCGAACGTCTACCACAAATCGGACTCATTTCCGTAATAAAAGGGACGCTAACATCTTTGATGCCATTGGAATCAGATTTATGCCCATCTGGTTCGGACAAACATTGCGACAGCCCTTCGTGTGAATGAATATAACAATCAATTCTCTCATGTAGAAGATACAATTTCATCTTCCCAGCTTAGTTAAAAGTCTGTCAAGTTCTGTCACGGAAACTTGTCCACCACTTTTAAAAAGGGCCGGTGGTAGATTACCTGATGTAGACGCCCTATGGTGCTTCAAAGGTTGGAGTTCCTTTTGGATCTTCGTTTCGTGGGTGATATTGTGGATAGTGTGACCAGGCCGCGCTCGCAAGAAAACGACCTGAAGTAACCATCGTGGGGGCTGATTGAACTGCGATGTAAAGTGCTCTACCCAGCTTTCCAAGCGTCGATGTACTGTTTACTTAGCACATCGTTTTACCAACACACTGCGTTTTGGAACCAGTAGCATGAATGACTAGGAACGGTCACCGAGTGTTTATGCACCTAGGTGATGATTTCACCTACTTTGCACCTAGCTCCCACCGGGAATTTTGGTAATCTCTTTGTGAGTTTGTGCTGCAAACAGGCCCTGATGATTATACTGTCCGTGGGCCCGGATTGCCCGACGCGCGTCCCCAGAACTGAGGAAGCAGGGGGAAACCCAGTGTCTTGCAGTACGTCGGGTTGGTTTAGTTTTTTAAACAGGCTGATTGCATGGCATTAAGGATGGTTGTCTATTATTGTTCCATACTCCGTGGTGAGGTGGTGCTGATGCTACTCATAGTTGTGAGTAGTTGCAAAAGGAAACGGTCGGGGGTTTCTTTCAACGGTCAAAATTAAACAAGACCTTTTGAAGTGAATTTCTTCTGTTCAGTATGGTAACTGCAAGAATGCGCACCTAATAGTGAACCGCCCCATTAAATATTCTGTGTGCATGTGGAAATTCTGAAGACTTGTTCCAAAAGAGATATTTTGTTGTATAACTGCCAATTTACCGATACCCTGACCGTTATTCATAATAAACGACTATCCTCGACCAGGCACCGCCTTGTGGAATAATAACAGTAGTGGTTAGCACTACAGCCAACTAATTTTGACAGTCGATAAGCACGGCCTTGTCGAAAGCTTGAACTGTTTGCATCTCGCTCTTTTGCGATCACCAAATCGCATAAACAACTTGGCACAGACAAGCGCGTGGGCGGAGTCCAAGCAGTTACACCAGTAGCTATGTGATCAATCCCAGTCCACGTCTGAGCCAATAACGGGTTGTGGCAAGTGGCCAGGTGACGCTTTGGGTATCTGAATTTTGTGCTATCGAGAAATAGACCGTGCTCTGAGCATATGCTAAGTTTATCCCATAATCTGAACGACAATTTTCAGGGCCATGGTGACCACTGAGTCTAAGCGGACGGTAGACGACCAATGCTTGCTTTTAGGTATCCTGTCATAATCATAATATCCGTGCCATGAAACGGAATGAGGAACTTGATAACTAAGTAACAATAATATCGCTGTAGTAACATTTTACGCATGGACCGTGAATTTGTCCTGTGTCTTGGATACTCGTGTACATTACGCAGGGAAAACTCGTCTAGTTATGGACGAGTGGAGTCCAGACGGTCGCTGGAGAATAAATTTATGTATATGGTTAGAATGTAAAAAAACTTGAATACATTCCCATGTAGACAGTTGTGCTTCTTTTACTTACCCGCACGCTCTTGTTTAAGCGTATCCCAGATATTGCAGTTAAAATCATCATAACCACCGAGGAGGAGGCGACCACTTTTACTAAATGCCACGCTCGTGATTCCACATATTATATTATCGTGACTGAACATGCCGATTTCCTGGTCCGCTCGAATATCAAACAGGCGACAGGTGGCATCATCACTCCCCGTAGCGAACGCCAATCCACTTGGGAAGAATGTGATAGCATTGATATCGGATTCATGTCCTGGGAAAGTCTGTTTGCATTGACCATCTCGAATGTCCCATAGCTAATGCGTAAAAGAATAAGGGATAGATGAACAGGAGTAAGGTGAAAAAAGTGTGACGGGTAGTTACAAAAGAAAACGAAATTCCATACAGTCATTGAAAAAGAGAAATTTGTGAACTAAATAATTATAATTATTGGATCAACTAGGTCAATACTGTATGGGCAACTGGGAATTGAATTGAGTGTTGCAAAGAAGCGAGTAGTTTTTGTAACGGGTCGGAATCGGTGGGCCTAAATAGAAAGATTTTGCGAGGAACTATCCATTTATGTGGAGTGAATTGTCTCGTCGTTCTTGTAAATCTTCACAGCACCACATGGACAATCCCAAAAGCACTTTAACCCCAGTTGCATCGGGATTGCCAAGACCCACTAATTTCAGATCTGCTGTACGTTCTTCCAGGGAAACTGTTGTTTTCGAAGCCTTGTGATGGGTGGGGTGAAGGACCAGGGGCGGTCGAAAGAGGTGCAGACAGGCCTGTAAAACGCGGTTGTACGCACGTGCGTGATTAGACTTGTGACAAGCGTGTGAGAAATGGGGGTGAAGCAGCAGAGTGAGATGAGCAAGCCAGTGGGTCGATTCGCCGATCCATCAATAGGCCTCGTGGTCAAAGGCAAGCGGGCGGGGGCGAAGGACAAAAAGTGGATATAGGCGAACGGGGACAGACCATAACTTAACCGTACCCGAAGGGTTCTAGACCTGGCATAGACATGTGAGCATACGGACACATGTTCACAAATGGGGAACCGGTAGTCTCCGACACACCACCGCATAAAAATGAAGTGCCTGTCTGAGTGCTGTACACCGACGTTCGGACTGACTGGCGGGCCAGCACTTCTTCCGCCAGCCGGTCTACTGACAGGAAAAGTGGGGTGGGCTGCGAATTCAGGGAGAGAGAATCGAGTCGGTGAGATGTAGTGGGAGAAGCGGGACAAATCTGTACGCGTGTCTGCTCACTCATTCTCTAACTCGCTGGTCCACCATTTGCTTATTTGTTTGATCGCCTGACGCATGGAGTGACGGACGGACAGCCTAGCTACTGGATGACTGTATGACTGACTGGTTGTTGTGTTACAGGACCGGCCAAACGGCTAAAAATAGCTTCCTGCTATGATGCGCGCACACGCGCACGTACGCGTATATGTCTCATAGCGTGAGCAAATTGGTGCACAAGGTTGCGTGCGCATGCGTGGATGTGCTTGTTTGTCTCATCAACAGATCTCGGTTAGTAGTGAGTGGGGCAGACAGCATTTGAGCAGAGTAGAGCAGAGCAAAACAGAGCGCCCACGTTGTGTCCACGACCATGCAATTGGATGAAGTCGATAAAAACAGGGAGAGCCGGGTGGAAAATGAAATACACTAGGCTACATTCTCACGGTCTGTGTCACACTACATCACACCACACACACAACACAGCAAGAGTAACGAGTCGACGAGTTGGAGCAGGGGGAAAAGCAAGCGAAACACAAAGTCGCGCAGTCTCACGCAAAACTGACCAGATCGGGAAGAACTGGACACATGCATGATAATCGATATTGGCTAGTAATTCGTCATGAAAATCAGCATAGATGAGACAGGACTAGATCAAACATAATATTAAAGGAAAATCGACAATTAGATCTAGACTGAAGAGAATCAATGAACCTCGGCGAGTAGGCTTTGAGCAAAACCACTAGGCATTATTACTTCGATAACATTCGTTCCCATTTCGAATCTGGGACTCCGAAAGCGGGCACACCCGTTGCCATGAAAATGCTGTTGTTAGACATGTGTATCAGAACAGATCAGCACTGTCAAACGTCTAGAGCGATCAGTGATAGGAAACAAACAAGACAGAACAGTTCATGTTTCAATCAGTTTTTATACTATTGATTATCGGGTTAACAAGGACCCGAGAAGGAGGTAGAATAACCCAGTTTGCAATTATGCACTAACTAAAGTGAACTTCATCGTAGGTTTTAATTAGTGGACTCTGAGTAAAATAGGCAGAATCGATGCGGATTTCAAGATATCCCCTAGACCTGAACCCACAAACATGAAGGATTTAAATCTATCCATATACCTGGCTTATTCTATTTATTTATCTTTCGATCGAAAAGCCTCAAGTGAACAACGTCAACAATATGATTAGAATACATAAACCTGTGATGACTTTGAAGCCAACCGTTTATTCTTCTCCTTACAACAAAATTTGCTATCGATCAAGGTCATTCGTTAAGACTCATGACCAAATTTTTACACATCCATGCACTGAGCAGTGTAAAATACCATTGGAAAACCTTGCAAATGCTGTACTATTGTGAGAATTGGTCCACAGAGCTTGTGACTTAAACAGCTGAACCCCACATATTACCATCAGTTTTCTTATCCAGACTAGCTTCGACGATCGGTTTTATTTTAACACTACACAGCTTTTCAACCATTATTTTTCATCCATGAACCTCGGAAGTCGCCTCTTGGACGACAGTCTTCTTCTTAGCAATATATTTATCATCTTTCACCTTTTATTTTACTTCCTTTTATTGAATACATAATAAAACAATTTTCAGAAAGGAGGAAGCAAGCAATCAGAGGGCTGCCAGACAACACAGTGGGAAAGTCCGGTAGTGGCGGTGGCATTCGAACACACGTCCACCACCGCCTATTACTACTGTCTCTCGGTAACGGCCCATCACGATTGAAGAGGCGAGGTCGTTCGAAATATCCCATGAAATATTCATTTGTCTAAATCAATGACAAATACCAAAGATCAATATGTCACCTAGCGAACGCTGTAGTTGATCATGTGTAACTTACTCCTGCATATTCCAATTCTGGTCTTCGTAGGTTCAGTAGGCAAGTATTATAAACAGAAGTGGAACAATCTTAATGACACATAAGCGAATAGAGCAAACAGAGCAAACACCATAATCGCATTTTGCAAGCTCTTTCAGTAATGCGTGTAACAAGCTGAGGTTGTTTGTTTATTTCTTAAATTTTACAATTTTCCATTTGCAGTTGGTATTATTGACCCTCACTGGTGACAATACTTGTTTGATTTGGTATTTGGGTATTTGGAAGCTTCCAAAAATTGGAAATTTATTGCATTTTCAGAGCAGGGATTTATCTTGTTTTGCTTGACCAAAAATTAATGCTAAGTTTTAAGTTTTAAAATAGAAATAATTGGATCGCAAGCAGCGGATCGTTGATAAGCAAACTGTCTTAGTTTGTAATAAGCAGATGGGCAATGAGAGGGGTAAATATGATTTGGGCGGGGCCGGGGATTTCTTATTATCATGCGACCTGCACATCACAACTGCGCGTCGAACGAGTGCTGTTTCATTCGGCTCTACGTATTAAACTGACATACACCTGAATCATAAACTATTGTAGTTCGCACAATTACGGGATAAGGGTGGTCATTAATTACAACTATGCATGATGTATATCAGTGCACCTGTTCGTTAATTGATTTAATGAAATCATACAATACCCGGTAGAATGAGCCTTTTGGTGGTCAAGCGGTTCTAGTGGTCATTGGCGGGTTATGGACCCTAAAATCTGAGGTTGGAACCTTGAAATGGACACCCAACCTTGATCATAGGCAGCCTCGCTTTCAGTAGACTCAATAACACGCATAGAGGGTTCAATGTGGTTCGTTAATCATGTCCCGGGACTCGTGTAACATACTAGAATGCATGAGCAACTAAGTGGATTCCTGGTTTGCTCAATCTTATTGGTCACATCTGCCCTAGAACATTATAATATTGGTTATCACGCATATTTTTTAAGAACCCTCAAGGCCAAGTCATGCATATATAATGAGCACCTTTATGCTGAAATGTAAAGTAGTTGTACGTCTTTGAATACAACTTTCGCACTGATTTTCTGATTTTGGGAAGTAAATGGTTGGAGATTTGGAACTGGACGTTTGAAAGCGCAGTTTCACGTGACAAAAAACTTAACCTCTTGNCTCTTGCCGTTCTCCTGTGCTCAAGGATCCCGATTATGATATATTTCAGGGCTTCTACAAATATCCAACAGTGGAACATGATCATCATTATCAGCTTTGCACTTTAATCAGAAGAGCCAAGTACTTTAGAGAACAATGAAGCTTTCCTGATGCTGGTCAGGTTAGTCCATTTATGTGATCCTGAAATAAAACTAGATATACGGACTTGTATTTTGCGTTGACTGCTCGACCGGATGAAGAAGCAGGGGGTGGAATTAAGGTTTTGGAACGAGTAACGGAGAATAGATACGGATTACAATTAAAATAAATTTCAGAAGAAACTGAGTGGGCTCATGAGGGTCATTGCTTATGCTATTCAACTGTATCACTGTCCTTAACCATCCGTTGCACTGAACCCGAGCCTAGCACTACCTATATGCTTAAGTCCCCTGGTCAGAGCTCTCAAACCCCCATGCCGGGTTTTAGCTGTACCACCTTTGACCTTTTGTCACTCCTTACTACCACGGTAAACATCACAAGCCGTGCCGGTCTATTTGGTGTAACGCATGCAAAAACCATCGCAATCAATGGAGGTTGAGCACATGCTTCAGGGAGCTGCAAGGGCTATTTGAAACTCGGCTCCTAATGACGGTATTGCATGTTCCAGAATTGTATCTAGCATATGATATGCTCGGCGGAAAAGAGTCGTGAGCTTGGATTCGGTTTCGGCTTTTAGTACAAAAAGATCTTAATATTCCAATAATCTGCCCTGACATACCAAAGTTGGAGAGGCAGCACCAGAGTAAAGTATGGTTGATCGAGTCGAGGACAACTTCTAGAACAGGGAAAATATGAACTTGGGGTTTGTGCCAGGATGTTTATATTCCAGAACCTGGCGGACGGTGAAAATATGATCGACGCGATCTCGACAGGGTCTAAAATCGGTCGGATTCTTACGCGTGCGGCAGTCAACCGAATGAGTATAATTTCAACGAGAACCTAGGAGACAATGTTGATTAAACCAACTTCCCTGCGGTTTTCACAAGGGGTTCGTTCTACCGGTAATACGACTGGTTCATACCATTCATCTGACATCTGTTCATTCTCCCATATTGAACTCAAGAGTTTCATAAACTATAAGACCAAGGTTAAGCCTGCATCCTCAAAAGCCGATGCTGTAGAACTGGTTCTGCGGGTCCAATAGAACAGCAGAATCCGAAGAGATCCATCATTTGTGTTCAGACTGTGTCAGAATTTATCATTCGATAGATTAACATTTGAATAGCTTCCGTGATTAGTTTGCAGTGTTCACTGAATCCCTTGACGGGTGATCGAACTCAAGCCATGAGGGAGCTCCACCGATTTACCGTTGTCGCCTACATTGACCGTGTGCATCCGTTTTCCGCCGTCTTGATGCGGTTCTTTATCGGGTATAGACAGAATCTGGATCGTACCAGAGCGTTGTCCGTGTTCACAGACATAGATCAATAGGAGAAGGAGTCTTGAGTAGAGTCTGGCCAAAGGTAGTAGATAACAGTTGGATTCACAACTGAGAGTTTCCATGTAGGACGGTGCTGTTTTT